GATAGAGCAAGACTTCAAAAAAAAAAAAAAAAAAAAAAAGCCAGAGAGACACCTGCCCAAAGTCACAGAGGTAAGAGTAGGAGTCGCTGAGTGCTGGGTGGCACCATTCTCTGAAACTGATCCATCCTCCTATGAGCTTCAGTTTCCTCTTCTGTAAGCTCTGTCCCCCAGACTGGAGTGCGGTGGCGCAATCTCAGCCCACTGCAAGCTCCGCCTCCCAGGTTCAAGCGATTCTCCTGCTTCAGCCTCCCGAGTAGCTGGGACTACAGGCGCCCGCCACCTCGCCCGGCTAGTTTTTTGTATTTTTAGTAACAGACGGGGTTTCACCGTGTTAGCCAGGATGGTCTCGATCTCCTGACCTCGTGATCCTCCTGCCTTGGCCTCCCAAAGTGCTGGGATTACAGGTGTGAGCCACCGCGCCCGGCCGCGTCTGGCAAATTTGTTTAAATTTTTGCAGAGAGAGGGTCTCACTAGGTTGCCCAGGCTGGTCTCAGACCCTAAGTTCCAGTGATCCTCCTGCCTCAGTTTCCACCTTCCTAAGTACTGGGATTACAAGCATGAGCCACCGCTGCCCAGCCTTATTACTTCCATGTTAGAGATGGGGAAACCGAGGCTGAGAGGTGGAGTCATGTGTCCCGTTCCCATTCCGCCTGTCTTCAGCCCTCCCCACTGTCTCTCCCTGCAGGTGAGATCCGTGCCCACCTGCTGCCCTCCAAGGCCTGCCGCCCCCGGACCCCTGGGTCCCGCTCCACCGACCCACAGCCCCTGCCCCCACCCCTGCCCAAGAAAATCCTAACCCGGACCCAGTCACTGCCCAACCGCAGGACCCCCCATGCCAGCTCCATCCAAGTACAGCTGCCTCGGAGGCCCTTTCTGGGGTCCCACAGTGTGGACAAGAGCCAGGCTGAGGTGGGACCAGCTTGTCCCCCTGCAGAGCTGACCTTTGGCCTGACTGATGCCCCGCTGGGCCTCTCTCTCCGCAATCTGCACAGTCCAGAGGCTGTGCACGCCGCATTGGCTGCCCGGCAGCTGCAGGGCCTCCATGCCATCTATGCCCGGCTCCGTGCCCGGTTCATGGGGGGCCACCCCGGGCCCTGCCGCCCTGGCCACGGCTTCCGCCTCCTGGACAGCTCACCCTGCGCAGAGAGCGGGGATGCCCTGTACTACCGCGTGGTGCGCGTGCATGACGACGCCTGGCACATCCTGGTCGCCAAGGTGAGACCCACGGCCCCACCTTCTCTGAGGTGTCCCCAGTGTCCCATCTTAGGCATAACCTAGGGCTTGTTTCGCTTG